AACATCGCGTGGGATTCGACAAACGCGAAAGTATTTCTGGGAACATTTCCATGCTTAATATTGTGCTGTCCACATTTGATGATAGGCAATTTTGATTAAGTAAGACTATTCGAAAGCAATATTGCTCTGTCGAAGATCGGCCGGTCGATGTGAGCTACGAAATTAAGAAATTCGAGTTCAAAATCAAATCGTTCTATTTTTGCGGCGGACGTTCGACGTGCGTCTTTCATGCGTTGTACGGAAAATCACCTATTCAGCAGCACTTGAGCATTTAACATGTAAGCCTACTAATTCACACACATATCCTATAGCTGGAACTGATGAATCCAAACCTTGCATACCATTAAACTTATCGGAATCAGTAATAACATGGAATTGAAACACTAATAAATAAGATATAAGGTTATCTCCAATATAATGTTTATGTAACTGTGCATACACTTATTATTGTAAGACCTTGCTCTGCTGAAACAGCTGCTATATTTTCAGGTCACTTGTATATTACTATTGTATGTAATAACAACATAATTCTATATGCGCATGGTCTTAACGTTAAATACACAATGGAATTTGTGCATTATAAAATGGTTGTTTTTCAGTGGGATATCAGTCATATTTCCATGTAGTCCATTGTTCTGAGACTGTACAAACATACATTACACATATAATAATCAATTGTGGCTACTGATGTCATGCTAAGAAAAAATATTGTAGGATTATTTATAATGCAGTAAAATCAATTCATACCGGTATTTCAAGTTTATCAACTAATTTTGTTTTTATTTCAGTTATACGATAATATTGGCGCGTTATCCATGGATAGTTATTATATTAACTGTAATCTTAGTAACAATCTCTGCCGTTATCAGCACTATTTTTTATGACTTACCGGACTTCTCTGATCCTCAAAAGGTAAGTAAACATCTTGCATTTCTAATGAAAATGTACTTTTCATGCAAGTCTGTGCATATTAATTAGCTAATTTGTAAGATAATTATAATTGGTTATTCTTCGTCTAGTAATATCTCAGATTTCATTGAAACATGATATGCATGCATTGGGATATAATCCAGATCAGATTACTTTTTGGTTTACATTTGTGAATGTTTTATATAATTGAATAATTTTTCATGTGAAATGTAATAAAAATAATTTTTTTAACATGGTATCCAGTTTATTCAGATCATTAGGTCAGTGGTATGATGAGAAATTATAAATCAGAAATAGATCCAACAATACATTATGTATTTGCACGTGGTATGTTATTTACGGCCTACTTTTATCAGCGGGTATTCAGTATTCAGTTGATTTGGTTACAACAATAGCTATTGTCATTTTTATTAATTACTTAAAAATACTTCAATTTCACTTGGAATTAATTTTCGCTATTTCGTTGAAGGAATGATTCAGTGAAAATAAAATCTATATACCTTTTTTCCTATATTTTACATTCAATTTGTCAAAAATCAGTGAAAATAAATATAAAAATAAAAAGTCATTTCAGCGAAAATTAATTCCAGGTAAATTAAAGTGCTGTGTTGTACCAACGCAATTCTTTCCGGTAACGCAATGCGGAAGTGAATAATCGATGTCGAAGTACGATCCGTTGGAATTGATTTCAGCGAATAAACGACATGGTTTTTCCACAAGTAACTAGCCATTTTTGAGAGGTAAACTGAATATGGCATGAAATATTTATCGCATTTTACTTGTATTAATAGGTCATAGTCAAAGCGTAGTTTACGCACGGTTACCGTGGTGTACGTATTCACAGCGGTCGATATCCATGCTGTATCGTATAAAAACGATTACCAAGATTCATTACGCAAGACCAAGTTTTAAATTAGTTGCATTTTGAAGGGGTGGGCGCTTTGCCAAATGTGACCCCAAATATAAAAATTGCGCAAAAGTGGGGGATGGGCACTTGCCTGGGCATGAGCGCTAACACGTTCGAGTACGGTAGCATATATATGTATTGGTTATCTGGGATTATGCACACACACATATATAGAGAGGATGGGTAGGGTTTTCTGCTTGTCAATTTCAATATTATGGATTACAATGTACATTGCTTTGACATTGTAACTTTTAATACACACATGTAGCATTTCTGTTTTGTTTATTTCACAATAGATGGTGACTGTGTCATGTCAATGAATTGTACAATACTCATATTTGACTCATGATATATCGACTTTCTGTTTAGT